CTTAAAGCTGTACCCATTAGAACACATGAAAGCCTGTCGTCTGTTGTTCGTTCAGTGGTTGTGGAACGAATGCTTTTAGGATCGGTCGTCACTCACCGCGAAATCTTGCGCATGCGCGTATATCGAATTCCTAGCAGGGATTTTCTCCTGGTCTGCGGACTGTACGTCTGAGTACCAAATCAGGCTGGTAGATGACAGTATACATAAGGCCTTGTTGCTCATATACAAGTACAGAATGCATTTTCGGCGCCATTTCCACACGAACCCGAATTATGACCTTATATTGCTATTCAATACTAAAATAATTTCTAATGCGCTAACCATCCCATTCAAGGGCAACAGATGGCATTACATGTGCCCGGACGTTCAACTGTACGTTTATCGGTACTTACTGGATCAAGGCCGTATAGCCAGGCAGGTGGCTACTGCCTCCATCACCAGGGCAATGATGACTCTGATATCTGTGACATCTTTTTGGGACGATGCCGATCGTTAAAACGAATGCCCGTGGTATATACTAGTATCTTACTATTAAGAATGCATCATCCTATGACGCCATTAAATTATGAAGTACTGAACGGAAATGTGATTCGCGGAGGAGAGGTTCTTTTTCGCGGTAACCTGTATAATAGACCTCCCCTTCTGCCTTTGTCAACAGGCTGTTGGCCATTGACACTTGTTCACAATGGCGGGGGGGGGGGACTGATTAATTAATTCGATATCGAAATGAGGCGAATTCCGTGATCAAGTGTGAGTGATAAGATACCGAGACAATTAAAAGGCACTTTTATATCAAATGTCGGTGTATTTTAGTGAATCACAGATTGTGGGTTGCGCGGTGATTAGCACGTAATTGTATAGATTAATTTTAAAAAAATTCCAATAAACTCGGTCACGTGGTACAAGCATTATGTGGGTGTTTGTTTACATGTACTAATGAGGGGAATATCCTGGAGGCAAATGTGGCCACTGACACCGGAGAGTCGAGTGGAGGAGTCTTTATCATTTTAATTAGATTAATTTAATTGATACCAGTAAGATATCACGACCCTTTAAAAACACGAAGCTTCGTCGCATACTACACTGTCCCTACTGGCCCTTCTTACATCGGTACACGAGCGACTAAACGTCCTTGAGGTCAACGATTTTGTTAAAGCGGTGTGAACGTGGGAACTTTTGCTGTTTCCTTAACAAATGCTAAACACGAGTATTGGGTGTTGTGAGGGTGATAATCTGAGAGCACAAATCATTCTCCAGGCGCATCTAAACTTCTGGTGGGTGGCACAGATTAGTCGATTTGTCGCCGGCTTCTCGCCACGACGCCCGGGTTCGCGTCTAGGTCAGTCCAATGGAATTTGTACTACGTAAAATGCCACTGTGTCTGGTCTGAGTTCTCCCCTTTTCTCCTGCCAGTAGTACCCACAGCTGCTCCATATTCATTTATTATCTGTGTTACTATGATAATTGAAAAAAAGCAATGTCTTTGTCTTAACGTCGACACTCACAGAATGAGTCGACGGCACTTCAGAATCTAACGTGTCATCCTGAAAAGCAACTTTCACACTGAAAGAGATCGTAGAACTGTGGCGTAAAAGTAAAAGGAGCTCGTGGTTCGAAGATGTCCAAAAACGTAGAAAGCGATTTACGCTATTTCACCCTCTGTGGCATTTCTCAACGTGTACCGGCATGTTTATAGATCTACCTCAATACTGAATTTCGGACGCCTACTTCCATTGGGCAATTACTATAAAACACAACACTAAATGCATAATTCATGGACCGGCGATGTTTACCAGTAAGAAATTCTTCTCAGACCAATTTCCGCCCCGTTACGAAGACGTATAAATCGTTAAATTTCTTGAAATTTACAGCAGAATGACTGGCACATTTTTAGGTTAACATCTTAGCAGCGCAAGCTCCTACACACACACACACACACACACACACACACAGTAAACAGGTTTGTTACGATCAACTTACTTGCATAGCTTCCTTCACATAATTGGCCATACAAAACGTCATATCCCCCAGGTCTCCAGCCTTATCCATTGGGCCCGAACTGGTGGAAGTTTGAGGCAAGGGGGTGAAACATCGGCCCTTTGATCCACCCGCCGTGTCCATTGTTGGAACACCGAGGTAATCTTCTTCGGCATCCATTTTCGTAAGGACAAACCGCAATATAAAGGTAAACTAGAACACCTCCACTGTCTTCCGTTTTGTACATAAAGTGGAAATTACCATCTTCACGTCCAGAGGTTTAACGTGTCTTTTTAAACCACACATACGATCAACTAAAACAATGCAAGGCCTGTTTGATTTTAATATTTACTGAATCTTTGTGGAAAGAGAATGTTATTCTTTCGAACTCAGAAAGTATTTTTTCTTAATTTTGATTTCACTTTCCTGACAGGATCCTGTGCATTAATCCACAACATTTAAGACGGCACAAGTCACACTTCACATTTATCATACGCCTCCACGTGGGAATGAATCGTAAGAATAATCCCTCCTGTTCTGGAACACATGAACTTTACTGGGTCTTCTGCAGCCACCATTTTGCTCTCCAGGCAGATGAAATAACTTCAGTTAGGTACGAGGAACCTTAACTTCTAGACGTCGTGTCTCCTACACCGATCTTGGAACAATGTGCTTTGCTTTCACAGGGGAGTACGTGCAGACGGTAGAATGTTCCGATAACTCCGCCTTCTCTCCTTCGATGTGACAGCAACACGTTCGAAAGAAAACAGCTGAGTCACTCCTCACCTGTCGACAACAAACAGAAAAGAGAGAGAGAGATGAACCTAAGTCGTGTAAGTAACAACCTTTAGCTTTTTATCACAAACACATTCGAGCATGCTGAAACCTTCACGGCCATCAGAAATTAACAGATTACGGAGTGCATACACCATTCACTCGCATAAACGGATACTGCACAGTCATCCTCCTTGTCTGTTAGTCTCAAGCTCTGCCATGAAATGCTTGCGCTGTGACGTCACGATAACATTTATCTCTCGCCGTTCTAAACGTACGTCACATTTACAGTCGTTAGTGTTTCGACACGGAAGAAGTTTTGTCATTACAGCCCCTTCTTTAATGTGTGTTGTTGGGATTTGAGGTTAGGGCACGTCTAGACCTGGAAACTTTGCTGGAAAAAAAAACTGTATCCATACTGCTACGACGTAAGTTTCTTCCGAATTATACAGCAACCGTTTCGCGCTTGTATCGGCGATGTTCAGAAACAGTTCAGATACTCGATTATAAAGTTGAGAAAATATTCCTCCAGTCCGCCTGCATGCAAGAATTCAAGAACAGCTTAATGGATATTCATGCCATCTGGTACTAGACGGTTATACTAATTTTTTTACACGTTCATATTTTGGTGAAGACCGGACAATAACACACAATTTAATTGAAGATCTGCATTCATTTTGGGAGGGGAAGGGGCGCGAAGGTGGGGGAAATCCTATACGTTCAATTTCTATGCTACCTTGGCCACCATCTTTGCCCGAGGAATCCCCAACTAGCAGTGCAAACACGTGGTAGAATGCTTCGCAATGACGTAATCTCGCAAATATTCACAGACCATTGCTCCTAGACCACTCAGGTCACTACCGCCATTCGCAAAAGGTCAAATTCTGACGAACTAGCCAGAACTGTTTCAGAACTTGTTTCTATTAGAAAAAGTGTTCAACCGTTCAGGCAGGCTGGCCACAGTGACACAGTCTGTGACGAGAGCCGGAATATTCATATATCTGTGCCGCTACAAACCAAAAAAAGTATATATATATATATATATATATATAAATTCAATTCACATTTGCATAAGCTATTTCCTTGACAAAAAACAAAGACAATTATAAAAGCAGGAACTCAGAGGTTTGTACTAATCACCTAGTACTGTCAGGTCAATTAAATCAAGGAATTTGTTAATGAAGGGCACATGCTGGAAATAAGGAATGCATATATGAACAACATTCTGTAAATAACTCTGAAGATTGAGAATAGATGGAAGAATGTTGCCAAAGCACACCTTTTCAATTAAAGATTTATTCTGCAATGAATAACATATTCAACTTTGGGACTATCAATCCAAACTTATCAGAAACGAGTTTCTGTTGACCTTGAAGTTTGACATTTAAGTCATTTACGTGGTACCTCATATCACAAAGTAATGCCAAGCCACTTTTTAACACAACATTCAGCCAAAACTTTGCCTTTCTCATTCATATGAATTTATGTTTTCTAGCCTTCAGCATTTCCCCACAATTCTGCCGTCGAAAGGGAAAAGATGTCCCAACTTCCGACAAAAAGAGACCGACGAAATTCGTTATGATTAAGTCCATGACATGGAATAAAGTTCACATACGATATTTCATGTTTCATAACATGTTCAAACTTCAAAGTTCGTTGTTGTTTTTTTTTTACAGAGTTACTGTAGCTGGATGACGCAGTCAAGTTCCATGTGAAATTCGGGACTTCGTTTGTCCATTTCTCGCCTACATTTACTCGTGAAACCTGTTTCTGTTACACTCGTACTTGAAGCGTCATCTGTTGTCACCCAAGGGCAGTTCAAGTTCCAAAGTTCCAACAACCACCAAAAAAAAATCTTCGATGTTTCTGTGACATGCAAACTTTTAACACTACCTCGTTCCTCCACCACCTAAAAATATTCTGTTGTGGCTTCAAAAACATCACATCCTGCGCGAAACAAAATAGTTCCAGTTATGCTTTGTTTCTGAATTAAGTAGGTCACTCACTATCAATATCTTCTTGTCATCGCTTCATTATTGCACGAGACAAAGTTGCAGTGTTAAAACTTCTCAACGGCAATTCTCTTGCATAATGCGATGGAAACATTTTCTTACAAAATTCCGCATTGATAAAGGTTTGGTTGCTTTACCAAATACTCACGATAAATTTCCCGCAATGCAGAGGAACTATCAATGTATTGTTTACTGCAGACATTCTGTTGTAATCCAAGTCCCCTATTTAAAGTCGCCACCTTTTCTCCCCTCAGAGACACCAAACAGTATTTTTTTAAGTTTTTGTTTCGAACTGTAATGCCTAGTAATGTTATATTCCTTAAAACACCAATATTGGTTAAACCTTGACATCTGCTACAGTCGGTATAGAACTTAACCTCAAACAAAGACGCAATTCTGTAACAAACACAACGTAAACGTCTCTTTGCTGTGGGTTTACGATACTTGAAAAATACATTACAACTCGAATTACTAAGCAGTGTCGAATTCGCATGTGTTCTATCGGAAACTTTGTAGATTGGTGCAAAGGATTGCAGTTCTGTTGGAAAACTTATAAGGGAGTTAGTTCCCTGTACCGAAACTAGGTGGCAGATGATGTAACTGGCCGCTGTCTTATTAAAATACTGAGAGGTTTCTGACACCTGCTTTCAATGACAGTTCTACCAAATAACGAACGCAAAACTGAATGAAATAAAATTGATCCAAACCACAAAATTACACTAATATCACAATAGACACGACCAACCCATAATGCATTCTCGCTATGCACTTCGCATAAAGAACGCATAATATAGCGTGCAGACAGGCAAATTTGGCAGTGAGTTTCTGAATGCGAAGGGCAACTCTTATAGCAAAAGCCCAAGTGACAAGTTTATGAGGATATGCATATAACTAAGTATAAAGAAAATCAAAGAAATAATGTATCGACCGGAAAGTAATCGGTCTAATGAGAGTTTGATTGAGTATATTAGAATCTTTTTAGACGCAGATATGTCGTTGGGACCAGTCTGAGATAAACCATGTGCACATCATTCTTCAGAGTTCGACAAATTACATGCCATTTTAGTTTCTGCATAGTCGTTTGCCTAACTTGCCAGGGTACGCGCAAAAGGCTCACAGAAGCGTGTATTATGCATGTAAAAGAAATTTGAATTGAGACTTGACATCATCTCCGCTGCTTTGAGGAGAAATTTACAGACCGCAAAACTGAATAACAAAATGGACAATGACCGACAAACCAATTATACCACAATTCGATGTCGGACGTTTTATTCTTGTTGATGAGGAAAGTGTTCGTCGTGATCGATCAAATAAGTCAGAAGTAGCGTATGAAGTCGTAAGAGCAGAAGGACGGAAGCCCAACACGACAGAAATGAACATACAGGCATACCTCGTTTTATTGCGCTATGCATATATTGCGGGGTTTTTTTTGTTTTTTGTTTTTTCAAATTAAAGGTTTGTGGCAACCCTGCGTCGAGCAAGTCTATCGGCGCCATTTTTCCAACAGCATGTGCTCACTTCGTGTCTCTGTGTCACATTTTGGTGGTTCTCGCATTGTTTTTTTAGACATAATTCTATTGCACACTTAATAGACTACAGTATAGTGTGAACATAACTTTTATATGCACTGGGAAACCAAAAAATTCGTGTGACTCGCTTTATTGCGGTGGTCTGGAACCGAGACCGCAATATATCCGAGGTATTCCTGTACATGCAAACCGAGCCAATCGAGACGTGATAGAAGTTGTGGATATTTTTCGTGGGCGCTAATCACGGGGTTAGTAAAAGTCTAGACGACGTGCGAGTCGAGCCGATACCGAATTCACTTGGATTTTATTACCGACATCAGGCAGAAGGCAGATTATATATAACAGTAATCGGAGAACAGTGACTATCAAACATCTGAAACACGCCACTGACAATCTGATATCGTGGGAAATGATATGCTACTATCAGGTTCTGTAATAGGCATGACAAGTCACTTCTTTAACTCTATCGAATATAGAACGACTGACAGTGATGTTACCAGGAAATCTGAATACTTAAAGAATATGATAAACGTTGTTTTCCAGATCACTAGAAAAGTAACGGTTATGCATTGAGGGAATTAAGACTATTTAATATCAGAGGACAGGCGTCTAGATATTTCCATACATTAATTGAGGTTAGGTTAGTTCAGGTATGGGATTCGTTGGAAAACGAGGAATTCTATGATCACATTTTGAGGTGAAACGGACGGATCTAATGAAACTGTCGTCACCAGATGGCACCGAAGTCAGTTGTTAGAACGTTGCATGCTGTTTCGAGGAATGGACTGGCACTGGAAAACGGTTTCGATGAAGGAAATGAATGTATTAATCATGCGAACGAATAAATAAGGGAAAATAAACTTATGTCATGTTGGTCGTATGAAATGGCCACGCCATGCAAATACATCAAGCTTTGGATGACGTAAAGAATTAGTATAATATTCTAATTCAGTCAAGTATGAATATACACAAGGGAGTCATGCAATCCCAAATATTGCAACAAAGTCTTGAGAAACAATCAGCATAGTTTCCTGCGATATTTACAGGTTCCAAACACCCTGACGTCAGTTAACTCTTATCGGTTAATTATTACTGTAACCTCAGAAGTGAATATTTTAGAAGACAAGATTGTATATGTACTGTAACTTTTACCAGTCGTAATGTAAATGGCGTATATAGAATTTTACCATTTCTTGTCAAGGTTACAGACAGGAAGGGCAAGTACACTGTCATTCAGCCAAAGAAAGGATTTATTTCAAAGGACAAAACTGGACAGTTTTAAGTA